GAATGTGTTATACCACTGATCGTAACAAGAGGCCCTAGACCACAGGCAGCAAAACAGCCCCAAAGCATCAAAGATCCACCACCATAATTCACCGTGGCTATGAGGTGCCGTTCTTTGTATGCGGCCCCCTTTTTTGCCAAACATGACAGAGATGTGTGTGGCCAAATAGCTCGATTTCTGTCTCATCTGACCACAACACACAATTCCAACTGTAATGTTGCTGGGCAAAGTTCAGACACTGGGATTTGTGTCTTGGTCTCGGGAAGGGTTTCTTTCATGGAACTCATCCAAAAAGCTTCTGGTCATGAAGGTGACGTCTCACTTGATTTTTAAACAATGAAAGCCCAAGATTCAATTAAACTCTACTGTTGCAAAACTGTGATCTTTGGGCTCCTCTTTGTCTCCTGTAGCACCCTCCTCACTGCACATAGGGGCAACATGTGGATGAATCCCAATACTGGCAAATTTTCAACAGTTTCTGGCTTTTCAATCTTCTTTACTATGGCTCTGATTGTGCTTAATGGTAACTGGCTACCAATTTTTTGTAGCCATTCCCCAATCTATGCAGCTCAACAGCTTTGTTATTCTCCTTTGAGTTGAGTGCTCTTAGACTTTACCCATGCTAATGGATGGCAAAAGGATTTGACCTGTGTGTCACCTCATATTCAAACCCAAGTGAAGGAGGAAATGGTCATACTGTTCATCTAGCTATTATAGTGTAATTACAAAAAAAAAACAGTTAAACACACTGAAAAAACAAGAACCTGACTAATAAATCGTAGCAGAGACCACCAGGTATCTGTTTGTAACCCCTGCCGTTTTTTGCTGCCTTGCCAAATTATGTATTATGAGGCCAAAAATATTTAGCATGTTTGGAAAATAGTGATGAAAGTAAAGTAGCCTAAAATGTTTTTTCTTGAAAGTCAAGCTTCTATAGTTCATATAAGTACTCTAAATATATAGCTAAATGGCTTTAAACACAAGAGTAGCAGTCGCATAACAAATATCAAATCAGAACTAATGTTCTGGTGTGTGTGACCAATTGTCAGCATTTAATAAAAGAAAAAACTACACAAATACTTATTCATCAAACTATGAGAATGATTCCTGGTCTTAGAGGAATGTCTTATGAGGAGAGGTTAGCTGAGCTGAATCTGTTTAACCTCGAGCAAAGGAGACTAAGGGGGGACATGATCCAGGTATATAAGATTCGAACAGGTCTGGATGCTGTTCAGCCAAATGGCTATTAGTTTAAATACTAGAACTCGTGGCCATAAGTGGAAATTAGTGGGAGAACATTTTAAAATAAATTTGAGAAAGCACTTCTTTACACAGCGTGTAGTTAGAATATGGAATAGTCTTCTTGTTAGTGTAGCGCAACCAAAATCCTGGGTTCCTTTAAATCAGAGCTAGATAAGATTTTAACAACTCTGACCTATTAGTTAAGTTCTCCCCAAACGAGCTTGATTGGCCGAATGGCCTCCTCTCATTTGTAAACCTCTTACGTTCTTATGTTCTTAAATTCACTCGCCTCCTGTCATTTTCTGTAAAAACTGCAGCGTGGGTTGTTTTGTGTCAGTGAAATCATGCCGTAAGGCAGTTGGAGCACTCCGCAGGTTTTTAATATTAATGCACATTTGATAAAGTTTTCATTGGTATTGGCTATGTTATTATTTTTTCATGTTAATGCAAACAAACGTGCACAGTGTTGCTAATTTGAATTTTTTAAATTATATTTTTAATTCATGTATGATTTTCAAAATAAAATTTGGTGAAATTATTTTAATTTTGTGTATAAGTACTTTTTGAACATTTCAAGCAAATTTGAATAATACCTCGATAATACTGATAACTGTGACTTTTGGTGACTGTAATCATCATTTTAAATTTTCACACCATTTAATCTCTATTCCCTGCACTTCTGCGTAACTTACAAATTGGAGCAGTTGATTGTGGTCAACCACTGAGTATCGCTATAAAGGCCAATACTTCACTTTTCCGCATGTGCTTATGTTTTGAGCACAGCGTGAGTTACGTATATTTCATCATCGGGGTGTGCCCCAGGCGGTATGCGCACAGCTCAGATTTAAAAATTATTATTAATTTATTTATTTATAAGCATATAGCTCAGATTTTATGTCAAGCTGACATCATGCGCATTGATGCTAGTTGACTGCGCACGTGCAAGGAAATTGACGAGGCGCTTCCAGTAGGTGGCAGCACTGACGTTCATGGAGAAGAGGTCAATGAAGAAAGAGTAGTAGAAGAAGCCCCT